GCATCTACTAGTCGACATTCAAGGGAGAAGGAAAAGTAATAGGGAAGAAGAAGGAAGGAAGGAAAAGAAGGAAGGAGGATAAAAGGAAGGATGTGGGAGACTCCGCGTGAGATATCCTGAGATGGTCCGGGGTGCACCGCAACATTTCCGCGCAAAAACCTGTCGACTCAAGGGAAGCGAGCGAAGCGAATGGGAGTATGCAACACCCAAAACGATAAATTCCCTGGAAATCTCATCCTTTAGCTGCGTTTATACAGTGCGTCAGCGTTCGCCGGCACCAGCGACTAGAAAAAAAAGTGGATTTCTCAGCCGACGGTGAGGCGGCCCTACATCCACGCTGGCAAGCGGTCCGACGCCGCTGCGATCGATAATGGCTGATACGCGCTTTCACTGATTCTGTTGTTTTCAGCTTCTAAAAGCTGAAATTCTTCGTCCGGCTTTATTAGGGAAAGGTAAGCATGTTTTTTTTTGAAGCTAGATTTTATTTTGCATGATTTTAGTCAATAACATCGAAGTTAAACGAAAATACACAATGTATAATTGAAAAATGCGCGTGAATAGGAAAAAGAAACCAATTTGGCACAATTCACCTTTTACTGCCCCAATGACCAAATTTGGGCTAGTTTTGAACGACTTTTTATGCGTGGGCAGAATTGGCTGAAAATTTGTTCCCTGGGGTAGTTTGACCTCCTGAACACATCCGCTCGGCCTGAAACCTGGTGCCCGCTTCACAGGCGCTGGCGCCAAAATGTCTCAAATCACCGACGCCAAGGAGTTTTGGGTTAAGCAAGTGTGAGATTCGTATTCAGGAGGTCAAACTACCAGGAAACAACATTTGAGCCAAATCTAGCCATGGGGAGAGAAGTCGGTCAAAACCTCAATTCCGGATGGTTGGGGCAGTAAAGGGTAAATAGTGCTACCTATTTTTCAAAGGAAATTCATGATCAAAGGCACGTTCCGCGATAAACTAAGGCTAGGTTCTCATAACCGTGCACGATGGTCAAGCAGGCAACGTCAGAGGCTATGCTGCTTTTAAAAGTTGAAAAACAGCAAGCAAAACGCAGGGCGCTCAGGTTTTAGGCCCATTTGCGCCCGATAGGCCCATGCCGGCCTCCAGTGACCGTGTTGTGAGACTGCCATTGCGCTCTCTCGCCCGTCGTTTTCTGGCCTCTCTCGTCTCTTATCAGTGTATCGCCGCCTTTCGCAATTCACAATTGATCTTGACCACCTTACGCTCGTCCGGTGATCATGATCAATTGCAATAAAGAGGGTCTTATTCCGGGCGCTTTTTCGTGCTTCTTCCTTCTTCTTCAATAAGTCAATAAACACACGGCAATTCTATTTTCTTAATTTTCGAACTGTATTACCTATGAAATGTGGTCATGGGAATTGCCTTTGAAGCCAAAGTGTGATCGAGTCTCAGCAAACATACTCGCCTTTCCGAATTGCAGTCGAAAAAATAGTAATTTCAGCTTTTACAAGCTGAATACAGCAGAAATATAGCAAAAATACCGCAGAAATCAGCTGACTGGGAGCGTCAGCAATTATCGATCGGTGAGAGTCCAGACGGAAGAGTGAGTAGATGGTGCGGCGGCGCGTGCGAGCGCAGAGGCAACGAAGATTCGCTCAAGCCTCCGCCTCTTCACCGAAACACGACCATCGTACCGCTCACCCGCGTGCTTGTAGGACAGTCACCCACTGCACTGCCATCGATGATGTACGCAAGCGTAAGGCAGCGTGCGGCAGCGCTAGCGCGAGCTGGTCTGCCCATGCTCAAGTTGCCCGTGGAAACGCTGGCATACGCTGGTGAACGCTAGATCGATACCTATACTTTCCTAGTCGCTGACGCTGGGTCACGGTCGAAACGCTGCCGTACGCTGACGCAAAGTATGAACGAGCCTTATCGTTCCATGAAAGCTTGAAAATTTACCTCAGTACCATGACATGTTTCCTCTCAATGCTGACCCACCTGTTGTTACGACCTTTCCCCTGGGTAAGATCAATTGTTCCTATCGAGAATTTCTTCTACAGATAGCACTCTAGCTGGAGAGCACGGCTTTTCCTATGCTCACTGAATTTTTTTCATCCTTTTACAACCAAAAAAATGTCAATCAACGACCACCAACAGCCCGTTTATTTTCACAAAAGCATTTGTCATGGCAGATACATTTGGAACAAGCAAAGTACCAGGGATGACAACGTTCACTGTACATGAACTGCCTCACAAGAAAACCACAAAAATCAAGCAAAGCATTTTGCTGCAGCAGATGAATGCTTACTATATGTACAAGTACAAGAGTGAGCTAAATGAGAGTAACAACAGGAAAAAATCAAAAAATTTCAACCCATTGGCGCATTCCAGATGCCCCCAATTTGCTGAGTAGCCAGATAAAAGAAATGTTTCTGAGCAGATTAATTCTCCAAGGTTTATGGTTACCTAAGCAGCTTCGGACTTTCTGGCGCGGCGCACTGCTATCCACGGCCAGGTAGTTGAACAGGCGCTCCAAGATTATATACGCGAACGCAGCCGCAGACGCGAGACAATAAGAGCCGCTTGTCAGTGTATTGAGAGAGTATGGGGGTACAGAAAAACGGGCAAGAGAATCGTAATTCGCCGCTCCGCCGAGCACGGCGATGGGTGCGACGGAGTGGTACGTTGTTAACCTTGTCGTCAAAAATCTACTTCACGTATACCCCGTTATCGCAGACATTCATAAGTATTTTCTGTTCTGAATTGCCTGTTGTCGCCATCTGCGAGCTGGAACCATCGTCATCCGTTTGCTCGATGTCGCACGAGAGACCCGCCGACGCGACGAATCACAATTCTCTTGTCACATACCCGGGGGGTACAGGAGGGTACGCATTGTGGGTATGTGACGTTTGTGCAATGCACTTTTTTCGCACCTCTACTCCCATAGTCGCAGAGTCGCCTGCGGTGTGACCTCACTTAATTGCTGGCTCGCTGCCTTCTGAGCTCTCATAGATTACGCTGTTCAACCAGCTATAACATGTTATAATACAACTCGAAAATTACGAATACGGAAGTGTGAAAATTGAATGAACATTAAGTTCCAACGATGAGAAAGAGGTAAAAAAACATAGCGCGAGACTTTCCTCTACTCAAATATTGAGTTCTCTATTCGCAGTTCATGGACGATATATATAAAGAGATTTTTTTTTGCCCGCTTTAAGCGGGTCAATTCATTGGTGTGACCCGTCAGCGCTTTTAATTATTTTAAATCTCATCCAGTATCCCAACGCTTACAGCTGCGGAAAAAGAACTGTGAATAAACCACTATGTGGCGTTTCAAATTGTTCGGAAGCACTTTCAACAGCAACGACAGTCGGTAAAGGTGGGAAAGCGCAATCAATAAGAAAACTTATTCAGTTCTGAGTTTGATTTGCTTGCTACTGGATTTGATTGCAGGGTCCAATCATTGGTGTCCTCCTCCCTTTGGTTCATGCTTCAAGTCATCTCAGTATGCCTAATGGGGTTGACTGAAGGCTTTACTGGGTCATTTCGGTTGTGCACCTGATGTTGATCTTGGGTACGCGAAACGCAAGGATCTCACCGCCGCCATTTTTTTTCCTTCATTCAATCAGAGATCGTTTCGACTGCTTTGTTAACAGTTCCTCCAAGCATGCTTTATCCACGATATCTCGGTGCACAATTCAAGGAAAATCGAAAAAGAATGTGCTTGAAAATTCCGACTTTTTGGCTTGTTCCAAGTTTTTCTTCTCCGCAACTGTAACTGCCAAGTTGTTTTTGACCATTATGTTTTTTAACTCTTATTTCATCGGTTTGAAACTCAATATTCATTTGATGAAGCTATTGTTCACATTTCTATACTCCTATTATCCCAGCTGTGTTATAACATGTTAAGACTGTGTGAACAGCGTAATCGATGAGAGGTCAGGAGGCAGCTAGCAAGCAATTAAGTGAGGTCACACCGCAGGCGCCTCTGCCACCATGAGAGAAGAGGTGCGAAAAAAATGCATTGCACAAACGTCCTACACCCCACGCATTGTTATGGTATCGGCACCGGCCGCAGAGGCGGCCGAACCGATTGATTCCCATCATAGCGGCGCTAGTTCGCGTCTAGAGAGATTGAAAACCCCAAGTCTCATACGAACGACGACGTCATCGAATCATCTGCAGTAAAAAGTCGATGAACGCTGCATAATAGTACGAAAGTGTATAAAAAAAAAGATACCCCCTT